AGGTTCTATATTTAAGGGGCTCGGTATTGATAATCAACGCCATATGGGGACCTGAGCTGCCCAGTCTTCACTTTCCACTCGCGATAGAGCCCAAAAAGTGTCCCCGCGTCCTTGTAGGTGATGAATTATTTTCCGCTCTGCAAACCCTTTCTCAAAGACGAGACATAGAAAGCTTCTCGCTGTTCTATCGCTATTTCCATGGACATTGTTCAGATGAACTACATTTCTTAGTACCAGTCGTTCTAACTTTCACGGCTGGGACCCTCCATGCCACACACACTGTAGCGACTCCCCCCCCCGTTTCATTCGTATTCCTTTGTTTAGATGTAAATTCCACTCAAGCAGTTTCTTCCTGCGAACGCACATGCGCACACGCGTCCTCTCCCGCCACCACCGCATGTATTTCTTATATTTGGTTGGAAGGAACAGTCGTCCAACTAAATATATAGTTTCATTTCGTACATGAGCGGAAGGGAATTTCATTGCGCTCAGCTTCCAAATAGAAATAGACGTTTTGAGAAATTAGCATTGGAAACCAGATGAAAAACAGTTTTTCGAAAGTCGGTTTCGAATGTTTCAACCAGTTTTCTATCCAAAGATATTCCTTCTGTTTTTGCTACAAATTCTATCCATTTCTGTTAAAAGTTTTATTTTTTATAAAAAATTTATAACATCAACGCGTTACTGAAGGTGAAAGAAACTGAGATTGGCTGACTGATTCATTCGTTTTCTATCAACCATTTGTAGGTTATTTAAAGCCAGAAAATAGTTTTAGATTGTGAGATTTTTTTGAGTTGGTGCGAGTGGGGGAGATAATAATGGTTTAGTGATACAAGTATTACTAATTAACCCATAGCAAGGGAGATGGGGGATGAATTCATACCGTTCCCATTTACATTGGAAATCTGAACCCAAGTGAAAACAAGGTCTTCGAAAGACATTTTTAATATCAAAAATATTCTTTCCATTTCTGTTACAAATTTTTTTCAATTTGCTATTTTTTTTTTTTTTTTTGATAATCAATTCACCCCATGAAAGGTGATAACGCCATTAAGGTACAAGGGTTGACTGGGAATGAAAGAAACTGAGATTGATTGATTCACTCATTCATTTTCTACGGATTATCAACCCTTTGCAGGTTATTTAAAGCCAGAAAATATTTTTAGATTGTAAGAATTCTTTTATTGAGATAATAATGGTTTAGGTGTATTTTAGCATTAGCCTTGTATTTGTAAACTAATAAGTGAAATTTTAGACACACTGATTTTTGGAGGAGTTTTTTTTTAAGTGAAGCTTACAAAGGAGGAACTATGGTATGTAAGGATTCTTGCAGCAGTAGTGAACTCCTCCATCGATTTCAATCTTAGAAGTGAACTGCCAGACTAACCCCACATTTTTTAATCGGCATCATCTCAAGCAAGGCGTTAAAGCCACTAAGACACAAGTAGTTACAGGGGGTGGGGGAACTGGAGACAGAAATCTTAGTAAGGAGTAGAAAGAGAAAATAGCAATGCTAATCGCTAGATAGCGATTGGCATTGCATTTAAATTCTTGCAGATTAAAGTTTGATGGAAAACATGGAACCGGAAGGGAGTTCCACAAGCGAGAAGTGCGAGAAAAGAAACTATTAGCATAGAACTTACGGTTACCTCTGGTTAGCACAACTGTAAATGGATATGACCTCGCTGCCAGTCTAGTTAAATTATTGCGGGCTAGGTACCGTAGCGAATAGCTCTTCTGAATAGTTATCATGAAAATCTATATTAAAAAAAAGGCACTGAGATGCAACTTTACGGCGGTGAGCAAGTGACTGAAGCCGAGCCACCAGATCAGGACCAATAATATTGCTGATTCTTCTTTGGATCATATCAAGCATCTCCAGATGAATTGATTAGAGTGATGAAAACTTGCGGAAAAGTAGCCACACGTTTCGGACGAAACAATAACAGAGTAAAGGCGCGCCACAAGGTGCCTAAACACCGCCCCTTAAATTCATTTAAATTTTTAAAGTTTTTTTAAGGTTTCATCGTACTTCTTCTTCTAGACTGACTACTATTTAACCCGTGGTTAGAGGGAAATTAATTTATGCCTTTCTCCAAAGGCATTAGTTCGGAAGGGACGAAACAGAAACAAGTAGAATTTGAACACGGTTCGATGATTTCGGCATCAATAACAGTTACGCTGGTTGCACGTGTATATTAATACAAGCAGGCGCATGAAAAAAAAAACTACCAAATGCTTATATGAAATACACATATTCGAAAGCAGCTTACTGATATGCTTCTAAATAATTTCTGTCTACTTTTAATATCTCACGTGTAGCGTATTAACTGCCTTTGTACTCGACAAATATCAATATTTGTTAATCTCTTGTCCACTGAAGAGTATCCTTTCAACAATATAAGCAGAAACATTTCTGAGAGCCACTAATGTACATAAAGCAAAAAGAAAAAAAAAGTAAAGCTGCACATTCTCCAGAAATGTGTGTTTCCCTAGGAAAATTAACCCTTTGCCCGTCCTGTGCATCATATGTGATGCACAGGGCATGTGATTTTCACGTCCGTGCATCCTATGTGGTTACACGAGACACGATTTTAAAAGAGTAGTAAAACAATGGATGCTTAAGAAAAGAGTCTACTATTGAGCAGGACGTTTGGTTAGTACACACGAAAAACCCCTGGACAGGCAAAGGGTTAAAATGATTGCTAGCAGAATAAACCAAGTTCGCTTAAGAAAAGCGTCTACTATTGAGCAGGACGTACTGAGGAAAGGCCTAATCTAATATTTCAAGCATCATATATAGCCACAGGACGCTTGACTGATAATGTAAGGTCTCAAATGAAAGACATCTATTTTGCACTTTATTGAAATGATTATAACCTTTGCATCACATGTGATGAATCAGAGCCTCGTGTAAATATATTATGATTTGTACGTTGTGTGTATCACATCTGATGCACAGGTTTTTTTTTATTATGTGAAGTACTATACATTAGCACATTCTATTTGCTAAATAAGCCGAGTTGCCTTGTAATAGTCATAAGTCTGAAAACAAGCATGAACGTTTGGTTAGTACGCACGAAAACCCCTGGACAGGCAAAGGGTTAAAATGACTGCTAGCAGAATAAACCAAGTTCGCTTAAGAAAAGAGCAGGACGTCTGTGGAAAGGACTAATCTAATATTTCGTGCATCATATATGACCACAAGACGCTTGACTGATAATGTAAGGTCTCAAATAAAAGACATCTATTTTTCCTCTTTATTGAAATGATTATAACCTTTGCATCACATTTGATGCACAGAGCGTAGTGTAAATAAATTATCATTTGTACGTTCACAAATCTGTAAACAATCATGAACATTTAGAGAGTACACACGAAAATGCCCTGGGCAAGGTTAACATATTTTATACGTTATTTTTATGGATGCACTTATTGAAGTAAATGCTCTGTTCTTTAATTAAAAAGTATAATTTACATTTACCGGCCCGAATGTTTGAGAAAGTTCGTAGAAAATATGCGCTTTCCGGCAGGAATTGAACCTGCATCCTATGAGGAACCACCTTTGCATCACATGTGATACACAGAGCGTAGTGTAAATAACTTATGATTTTTTACGTTTTTATTATGTGAAACACTATGTATCATTACATTCTATTTGCCAAATAAGCTGGTTTGTTTAGTTATAAATCTAAGAAACAAGCATGAACGTTGAATAGTACACACGAAAATCCCCTGGACAGGCAAAGGGTTAAAATGAAACTAGCAGAAAAAACCAAGGACGCTTAAGAAAAGAGTCTACTGTTGAGAGGATGTCTGAGGAAAGGCATCTATTTTGCACTTTATTGAAATGATTATAACCTTTGCAACACATGTGATGTACAGAGCGTAGTGTAAATAAATTATGATTTGTACGTTCTGTGCATCAAATGGGTTACAGGTTTTTATTGTTAAAATTATATAAGCAAAAGATATTTAAAAATAAGCTGAGTTGCCTTTAGATATAAAACTGAAAACAAGCATGAATGTTGGAACAGCACATGAAAAATGCCCTGGACAGGCAAAGGGTTAAAAATAGAAAAAAAAAGATATAAAAAATAGGATTTTTTTCTTTCTTCTCTCAAGCTAAATGCTTTATGTGGGGAGCGATGTATCTGTGTATATGCTTGCACATGTGTGTGTACATGTATGTACGTGTGTTTATGTGTATGCGTATGTGTTTCCACAAATCATTAAGAAAAAAGTAAATAGCTTCATCAAAATAAGACCCATTTTTTTGTGTCTTTTTCCTTCGATTTTCTCTGCTTTTAATCAAATGTTTACTGGATTTGGGGTTTTGTTTGATTTTTTTCACTCACCTCACCGTAACCATGTCAGCTAAAAGCTTCGAAATATTTTTTTAATCTCCAACAGTTCGTTTTTTTTTTTTAACTTGCTTGAGAAAGATTTTGGAAAAAACCTATATGCATATCCTCGGTTTGACTTTATGGCAATACATCGGCATTTGATCACAGTTTTTAATCCTTGCTTATTGAATATAACAATTTCTCTTTGAGCAGGCGAAAAATTTTAGAGTGGTGTTTCCATCTTAATTAAGTGAATTTTATATTATCTACTATTTGTCATTATCGATGATTTTATATATACTACTAGAATAAATGGTATGTAAGTACTACTGGATTAGTCGAAAGCGCTTGGAATCAACAAACTTTTAGACAACATCTATGCTCATTAAAATTCAGAATTTTTTTTAGTTCATTCGTTTTCTACGGCTTATCAACCCTTTGTGGGTTATTTAAAGCCACAATTATTTTTAGGCTGTAAAAAAAAATAATAATAGTTTAGTAATACAAATCTTACTAATTAACACATAGCTAGGGCAGCATAGAGGGATTAATGCCGTTTCTATTTGCATATAAATATAACGAACCCAACGGGAATTGGAGCTCTCCGATTAACAATTCCGAGCCTTTATCTATTACACCAACCGCACATCCATGCTTACAGCACCTGGTATTCCCAAACAGTCACTCATTTAGTTATTGATCAGGCACGACGTTGCTTAACTTTGGTGATCGTACGGGAACTGGTGTTTCAACGTGATGCGGCCGTAAAAAGTTTAGAAAAGAAAACACTTGTTTATATACAAGAAAAATTAATAAAAAAAGAACCCTGTCAGATTTATTCAACAAATCATCTATCTCTATATATATGTGTGTGTGTGTTAGCCGTCCATCTCAGAGAAGAAAAACTCTGATTTGCGGCTATATGCAAACACGGAAAATGCTAAGGAAGTAAATCGAGACAGAAAATCCAGATGGGCGCCCAAAAGGTGTTGGCTTTAAACACTGACAACGTTCCGGCAATTCTTGCAGTCAGTGCCGGCCTCAAATGTAATGGTCTCTATTCCTTTGGATGTTGTCGATGCGATCGAGAGGGGGTGGATGCGGCGCATGTGACCTGGGCGGTGCACAACCCCTATATAACTTCCATCCGACCAACGCCCTGAAGAGATCCCTCTATTCTCAACCACCCATTGTGAGCAAATCACTGTCATTTCTAATTCCAGCTCCGTCCGTTACACCTACAGAAAAGCCTGCCATGCCAAGAACGAAATCCACCCGCTGCTCACAATAATACCGATTTTTTTAAGAAATAGAGTGCTACCATTATCTCGTGATACAAATGGATGTCTTTCTAAAATTGATATATATATATTTATATGCTTTGAAGTAAGTACCTCCAAAAGCTTTCTAAAATTGAACATAGCATGATGAAAAAACCCCAAAGTTGATAAAAACAAAGTTTTAACGTCAATATATTTCTTATTATTAAGAGGAAAGACCAAAGGATTTTTTATTATTTTATTACATTTTTTTAATCCTTTCAAGCACGTTCGAAATATGGATGCCTATCTAATACTGAAATATATATTTATATACTTTAAACTTTGATTATTCTTTCACCTGGTTATTATTTTTATATTTTCATGTTTAGGGACGATCTAGAAATCTGAAGTATTGTTTGAAACGACTTGTTAGAGGGAAAATCCTTTTTCCTTATTTTGTTCTATAGATTATATTCTCAACCGTTTTCCTACACGAAAGATTCACTACTTTGATCAACCATAAGGAATATTACGCAAATGGTTCTATTCGGGAATAAGTTGTTTAATTGTCTGCATATGAGATCAAATTCTTACACCAGGACGTCTTTAATGAGTGCACCCCAAACATATCATATCATTGCAAAAATCTGTGCGTAATTCTCATTATTAATATAAAATGACTGCAACTTGGCACTGGCGTTTGTTTTGGTGCAGATTTCTAGTGTGTCTTAGATTGAAACCTTTCATCGTACAGTTGTGAGTCAAACTTTGTTGAATATTGACGTTTTATTCACAAATAGATACCTTAAAGATGGCGGATGAAAAGTTGAAATGTCATCATGTAATGCTTTATGAGTTTCGGAATAGAGTAAGTCTAGGAATTGCGACAAAAATATTCAAAAGTTTTCTTTGGATCGTACTCTTCGAACAGTCAAAAAATGGTTTGGCACATTTTGTCAGGGGGATTTTAATCTAAACGATCAACCAGTCCCCGGACGACATTTCAACGTCGATGAAGACGCTTTACTTGCCATTGTGGAAAATAAACCGCATATTTCGACAGAAGCGATTTCTAAGAGTTTGAAAATCGATATCTCAATTGCCTTACGCAATTTCAAGAGACTTGGCTTCAAGAAAAACGACCGATTATGGCAAATCGAAAAGATGTCATTTTTCACCACCAGCACAACGCAAAACCGCGTGTTGATAAACAGACATTGCAAAAGCTTAAAGATTTGAAATGGAGTACCCACTTCAGTACCCACCATATTCTTCTGACTTGCCTACTTCGGATTTTCATTTGTTCCGGTCTCTGCAGAATAATTTAAAGGACAAAAACATTGACTCTGTACAGTCAATCGATAAGTACTTCACAAACTTCTTCCAACAAAAAAACCAAGTTTCAACGAAAATGTTATCAACACTCTTGCAGAGCGATGAGGGACAGTTATATAAAAATGTAGACTATTCACTTTTTTTTTTTTTTTTTTTTTTGAGTATTTAAAATTTTGTTTTTAATTTTCTAATCGGGCAAGTGGAGTAAGGCGGGTACATTGATGCACAGACTAGGATGATGCAGAACTCATATTTCAGAAACGGAAGTGTTTATTCGTTTAGAAGTGGCACCAGCGCATGCATATTTAAGTCTTCCTGCTTCATTCTTATTTACAAGTCGAAACTCTGTGAATAGAGAAAGTTTGAAGCAAATTTGTGAAAAATCAGCAATTTTAACACACTAAGTAAAAAAAAAAGATTTTGTTCTATATTTTTTTAAAGTCAAATTAATTTACAAATATGTTTATGGCCTTGTAATATGATAAACTACTATAGTTTTTCTTTAACCGAGTCGACTCTTTGCGAAAAATGTGGGTCTGGCACCAAGCCTTTCAAAAATTTACTTAGGTGATGGGGTAGGTTGATGCAAGAAAGAAAAGCGAAATACCCACTGACACACTAGTAAAAAAAATCATGTCAACCAAGAAAACGAGCATTGACAGGAAAATCTCAGGTGGGGGAGAAAGGTGGGGGGGCCAAAGAATGGAAATTTCAAAGGGAAATTGGAGAGGAAGATGAAGAAAGCATCTGTCAGCAAAGGAAGGTAAATATCAAAGAAATTAAAACCAGTGGTTGTATCCTCAGATTGGTTATCAGAGGCAGATGAGTGGCACTACATTTATGGTTGCAGTGTGTGGAAACTCCTGGGGCGGGGATGAGTGAATCCAATGTTCGGGTTGTGGAGATTGGGTTCATGAGAAATAAACAGATATTGGTGTGATAAACTTTGTTTTTATTTGTCAGTCTTGCAAGAGTGTAAATGAGTAGATTCTGATTAGTACCTATATATTGGTGTACTTTGGTTAGCGTTCTTGAATTTACTATAATTGCTTTTTTTTTACTTCTATTCATCCATATATTCTCTTGGCTGCATTAAAAATAGCATTATACCCTACTTAATTAATTTGCATCATGTTTTAACCCTGCTGCACAAGTTACAGAAATGTGCACCACAAGTGGATCAGGTTGCTGCATTCGACATGCTGTCATAAAATTGTAATATTATTAGAATTCTGGATTTTTTGCATTTTAAAGTACATTCAACAAACAGCCAACATACTGGACTCTGTGTTTGCCAAGTTTCAGCTAAATCAGCAGGGGTGTTATTTTTTTTGTTGTTGTTGTTGCTGTTGTTTAGCGTCAAGGAGGAAAAATGCGCCCCGACTTACCCTACTTTTGCAAGGACCTGATATTTATATGTCTGTCTTCAGAAATTACCCAATTGTACCAGCTAATAATGTAGGCGTCCGGTTTTAGTCGTAATTCCTCCTTTTTTGTGTGTGTGGAATGTTTCTCGAAGCTCATCTTTCGGAAGAAGTGAGGAATAAGTCGGTATAAACTACAATTCTCTTGAAATTGACGTAAATACAAGAAACGACATGACTTACGAGATTTGTTGTCATTTGGTTTCAGCCAGTGACGGTCAACAGAAAACAAAATAAATATTTAAAAAATATATAACAAAAATGTGATGAAAGTAAAAGGAATATATCAATTTACTAAGAGTAGCTTAGATGTGGTACAAGGCCGAAAGTATGGAGCGCGAGGTGAGGATCTGAGTAAAAGGAATATAAGAGGAAAACGAAACGCTTGCATTTCAGATTTCACTATATTTCTAACGATTTCTTTTACTTTTATTCAGGTATTGATTGATTTATTCGTATTTTATTTTATTTTTTATTTTATTTTATTTTTTATTTTATTTCATTTTTATTTTTTTTATTTTATTTTATTTATGTATTCGTTCAATTTATTCTATTTTATTTTTGGATTCGCGGCAAACACCAAATGACAGCGTCTCTTCTTTGTCTGTAGAATGATAACGACAAAAAAAAAACCCTACGCTCTGGGCTTTCAGCAATTTTCTCTTCAATACTTGCTTATTTTTGGATAATATGAGTGACTTATTTCCCCAAACAAGAAATATACAAGAATAAATAAACCTGAATATTTGTCTATTCACTTCAGTAGCACCAAAAAAAGGCTGCAATTTTGAAAAAGAGGTAGAATATTAAAGAATGTCTTACAAAGCTCAAATAAATAGACTGTAATATGTCTAAAAAGGTGTTTTCATAGACAGCCATTGAATATCGGCTTTATTCAAACATGATACATGTATGTATTATACATGCTGTTATTCGCGCTTATGCTTGTGTGTATTGTATGTGTATATATATACCACTTACTATCAAAAACCCCTCACCCCCCACACATATATATATATATATATATATATATATATATATATATATATATATATATATATACATAGAATCAATCAGCAATAATAATGAGATTAATATGTGAAATCACTTTCGATATAATGTATTTTTAGTTAACAATTACTGTTAATCCATTGCATGATTTGATACTCATTTCGAAAACTTGCTTAACTTAAAAATATACACTAGAAACATTTGACAACAGTTTTATAAATGAGGATCACATCATTCAATAGAAGAACAGTATTTTAATGCATACATTATGTTTCTACTAGCGAAGTGATTTCGCCATTAATCGCATAAATATTGTTGATTGATTCTCTGCATGATATATGATTATATATATATATATATATATATATATATATATATATATATATATATACATATAAGGGTTCAATATCTGGAATAAAGCGCATGTAAACATAAATACAATAGTGGATAATGAGACTTGAACGCCATCTTCAGGCTATATATATATATACACACGCATATATATATATATATATATATATATATAAACTATGATCCTTGTCCTGATATATATATATATATATATATATATATATATATATATATATATATATATATATATATATATATATATATATATCCTTGTATGATATATATATATATATATATATATATATATATAGGACAAGGATCATAGTTTTATTATTAATATAGATACAAATGTATCTCGTTTAAAGACAGGATTTGAGGTGCTTTTCGACTGACACTTACTCAGAAATAGAATCGTCAGCAATACAAAACAAAGATGCTGATAAGAAAAAGTTTTATCAATTGATATTAAGAAATCAATTACCCAATAGGCATGTAAAGGTGGGGATAAAAAATATTCGGGGCACCTCCCCCACCCCTTACATGCCTATATGTAATTGATTTCTTGATATCAGTTGTTTATAATTCTTTTTTTTATGTTTATACGTTCTTTTTATAAATACAAATATTTAAGTAAATGCTCTGTTTATAATAAACAGTATTAACAACATTTACCGGCCTGAATGTCCGAGAAATTTTCATAGAAAATATGCGTCCTCCGACAGCAATCGAACCTGTATCCTATACAAAAAATATATGCATCCTATAAAAAAAATGTCCATTTCATAATATATATATATATATACACACACACACACCATTTCATATATATATATATATATATATATATATATATATATATATATATATATATATATATATATATATATATATATATATAGGAAGCAGAAAAAATAAATAACCGGGGCCTAACCCGCCAAAAAGAAAAAAATAAACCATTAAGAAACCTTCCCAAATTCACCAGACAAACAAAACCCGAAAATTTAAAATAGAATAACAACCAAGAAAAAAGAAATGGCGTAATCCAAGACAGTCAAAAAGACTTGAGCCAGTCGTACGATTTCACACGATGAAGCGACCCTCAGATTGTTTCAAGATGAATGCAAGTTAATAAATTTTTCCTTCGATTCATTTTTCCGTTTTACGAGAAGATTTCGGACATAAACTCTCCAATCACGTCAGACAGCTTACGCCTTTCATGAGCCATTTTCAAAAAATTAATTGTTGGCTTGATAAGACTGTGTCGTTTGGTAGACATTTTGTTTCTATGGTGATTTTCAAGTGTTGCGTTTTCACGTATCGTGTTGAGGTTTTTCAGTTATCGCGTCACGTGTTTTCCCCTGTCGTTTTTTCATGGAATATATTTTTTTGTTTTGTTTTTTGTTTTGGGTTTTTTAAAAAAATTTTAAGAAATTTTTTTTTTTTAAGAAAATTTTCAAAAGAATAAGACACTTACCTAGCACATGCTTGGAAAGTATAAAAAGTATTAATCCCAAGCCCCATGGTTTCCCCGACCCAGGCAGTACCTCTCGTTCAGTAGAGGGTTTGGTTTATTGCCCGACGTCTGGGGCTTTCCCAAAATAGGAAGTGCCGAGGGGTCTTAGTCAGTTTTTATTTATTGTTTTAGTTTATTGTCGTTAAACTGACCTTGTGTCACATTCGGTAGCAACGTTAGGCGCGCTGAAAAATAGCTTATACTTACAATCAGAAACAACTGAAATTTCTAGAATACATAATGAGGAAAAGAGGCTTGGAAATGCTGACACTCACAGGGCGTACTGAAGTCGAGACAGACCGCGGGACACAACAAGTAACCTAGCTAATAGGCTTGTGTAAATGACAGAAGTGAGAACGAGGGATGGTAAAAAGACAAACCTGGGTAAGAGCTACAAAAAACGGGAAGATGTGGAGAGCTATGATCGCTCACCTCTTGAAGAGATATGGCATATGAAAGAACTGAGTATTTTGTCACTCTAAGCACCTCTACGGCTTATCAACCCTTTGCAGGTTATTCAAAACCAACATTTTTTTTTATATGGTAAGAATTTTTCTTTGAGATAATAATGCTCTAGTGATGCAATTCTTACTAATTAACCCATAGCTGGGGAAGAAGAGGTGGACTCATACCTTTCCCAGGGGCATTTTCTCGTACGTGAATATAACGAACCCAACTGGAATTGGAACTCAGAGCAATCCCGGGTCATTATCTATTACACCACCCGCACATCCGTGCTTACAGCACCTGGTATTCCCAAGTGGTAACCCATCTAGGTACTGATCAGGCTCGACGTTGCTTGACTTTAATGATCGTACGGGATTTGTTTTTTCTTACCGCCCGAGAATTATGAGAAAACATCAACATCTAAGTGTCCACAGTAACATTAGAGTATTGTTTTACTTACATTTTATATATATATATATATATATATATATATATGCTCATATATATATATACATATATTTTCTCGAAGCGAGAGCAAGATCTAAAAGGTCAGCCAATCTAAGAGAGATCTCATCTCAAAATCCTCACACTTGCTCCATATGTGGCCTCCTTTGTAAATCACTAGCGGGTCTTAAATGCCACTTAAGATTATCGCACAAAATTTCATAAATGAATCAACTAAGCAGTCAGATCCTCATACGTCGAAACCGACGGGAGAGTTCATTATTATTATTATATGCTCACATATATATGCACACACACACACAATAAACATATATATATATATATATATATATATATATATATATATATATATATATATATGTTAAAAAAAGATAAACATTTTGAATCGACGCAAAAAAACATTTTTATAAGAAGTGGAAATATTTACTTTTTGCTTGATGAAGGTCGCGAAACCAGAAACCCGTGTAGCAGAATTATGGAAAATACAGCATAAAATAGTGATTTTCCAAACGTAACTTAGATGTGGCACAAGGCCGAAAGTAAGGGGCACCCAGTGAGGATCGAACTCACTACTCAGTCGTAATTGTTCTTGCGAGACAAGCTTCCTAACCACTACACAGCCTCGAGCTGCCCAAATAGAGCATAATATATATTCTAAAATAAAAAAAATCTACATTTCAACCAAAAAGGTTTGCGGTTTACCTTCTTTTTAAAGTATACACTTTTCTCTCGTTGAAACAACTATAACCTCTTCATTGTATATATATATATATATATATATATATATATATATATAGAGAGAGAGAGAGAGAGATCTATAGATAGATAGATAGATAGATAGATAGATAGAGAGAATCAATTTAATCGAACCTGTTGGTATCCGTCTTATTTACAAGTCTTTACTGCGATGTTTGGTCTGACCGTCTCTGATAGACACGTGACCATTGAGATAAATAAAATGTGATTTATAACAAAAATTATTTATGATTAATTTGAAGGTATATTATTTTTATTGCTGACTATAAATTTGGCAATGCATTCCACATGTTAAATAAATCGCATAGTAAATATTCTATTCGCATTCCTGTATTTCAATACAAGGTTTGCAACGCTGTCTGTACCGAGTGTCTAAATCTTCGAGACGCTTGTCATTTAAATTAAGACGCTTTCATATCAGAGTATAAAATCTGAACATTTCAATGAAGGCAAAAAGAGTCATTCCGTTAAAAGTCATTTAATAAAATCGCACTTATTCTTCATTTGCAAGATTTATAAACAATATATAATTGGCTATGTAGTGATTTCTGAAAATATCGAACTTATAATTGCGAGTAAGATTGATAAGTATGTATCACCCAATAAATATACATTTTTTAACTCACTTGAACTGAAGATAGGTAAATTACAAACCGAGATAGATAGAGATATAGATTGCTAAGATAAGATAGATAATAGATAGAAGATAGTTCTATTTTAGATATATGAACAGTTTTTTTAATTATGAAAGATAGATAGAATAGAAGATAGATAGATAGGAACAAACAGTAAAAGATAGATATGGCAGGATAGATAGATAGATGAAGATAGATAGATAGATAGATAGATAGATAGATAGATAGATAGATAGATAGATAGATAGATAGATGAATAGATATGAATAGATATGAACAGTATAGAAGATATGGATAGATATGATAGATAGATAGATAGATAGATAGATATGAACAGTAAAATGGATAGATGAGATAGATAGATAGATAGATAGATAAATGGATATGATAGATAGATAGATAGATATGATAAAATGGATAGATGAGATAGATATGATAGATAGATAGATAGATAGATAGATAGATAGATAGATAGATAGATGGATAGTAAAATGGATAGATATAGATATGATAGATAGATGAACAGATGATAGATAGATAGATAGATAGTAAGATAGATGAAGATAGATAGATGAAACAGATAGATAGATAGTTAAATAGAGAGATATGAACAGTGAGATAGATAGATAGCACATTGTTTTAATTAGCGGATTCATTCCTTGGCCTGCTGCAAGTCTGCTGTCTGATAACAGCGTTTAATTAAAATCACATGCGATCAATATACACGACATAAATCCCCAATGATGCCGCAGTGAAAAATAACCGATGAGAAATGATTTCTCTCGATTATTTGAACTTGTACCTGAGTGTTTCTTTCTATGTTGTAACTCTTCACTTTTTGACTTCAAACTAGAATTGAAAACATATGGTTTTAGTTACGTTGCTTCCATTAATGCCTACTCAGCAGTTAAAGAAATGCAAACGAGAAGGTAATACGTTTTAAATTACCTTAGCTACATTTTAGATTTCATAAAATTACATTCAGATATGTCGAGAGTCTTTCAAAAATATTTATATTTATTAGAAGATGTGGTAAAGAAAAAAAATTACTATTTGTTCGTACCTATTGACTTCATAGAAATAGTTAAGTTTATCTCTATAATGGAAATTTCCCGCAGTTTCTAAATAATAAAATGTATTTAGAAACTGCGAGACTTTTTCTTTACATATAGTCTATACTAGCAGTGTTGCCCGGGGGTGTAACAGTAAGAGATAGATCAAGTATCGACCATCATAAAGACTAAAAAAATAAAATTGACAAAGATTATTGTTTAAGGTTGACGGACACGCATGTCTTAATTAGTTTTTTTTTTTTTTTTTTTTGCTTTTTGTTTTTTTTACGAATTGGTCAAACCCAAACTCAAACAAAAACATTGTTTTCAATCCTTATGAGTCTACCGATTGAATAGAATTTTATTATAAACAATTGTCTTGTAAATGGAACTTTTAAAGCATTCTGAATGTAAAATAAAGAAAAAAGTGTGCAAGACAATAAGAAACACTACCAGCCAAAAAAAAGTGAAGTTTTGTTGAAATCGGTTGAAAAATGTAGGAAATCACATATATAAACGAACAGACACACACAAACAACCTGGGTTTTATAAGTATAACTCGATATGTGTTGTCCTCCTTTCATGCCTCTTAATCGTGTTTTCAAATTGATTTCGTGCAAAAACAGTTGTGTTTTCCAATTTTTGGCACTGTCAGAACCACGGCAAGGTAATTTTACGTAGTCCTGTGAAGTTTTATTGAAATCGATTGAAAAATGTAGGAAATCCGATCCAATATATAAACGAACACACACACACACAACCTGGGTTTTATAATAAGTACGATTAGGATATATCAAAAGTATTTTCGTTTTTTTATGGTTCTTTACTCCAAAGCTTCTATGCTAAAAAACAAAAAAAAAATTTATACTGTGAGGTTCCCCCGGGAGCAGTTGCACCTCCCTCCATTGCACTAAAAAGTGGGGATCGGTAGTCACCACCGAGTCCAACGCAGCTGACGGTTGCTGGGGCTGCGCAAATTTTTGTCCTTGGCCCGGGTGTACGTGCTCGGGTTCCCGGCGTTAAACTCGACCTTGTATCAAATCCCGTCTCCGTGGAAAAACAAAGGTAAGTAATACTTACATAGTATATTATTAATACTGGACGTCTGGCCGTGTGGTAGAACATTCACTTTCCGACGATGAGAACCGGTTTCGATCTATCAGGACCGTTTAAAAATAAAAAAAGTAAAAAAGAGTCGTCAGAGATTTTCTCTGGGTTGCGTGAACAACTGTTGCCACACAAGAACACACATGGACACCCGCGTGACTGAAGAATTAAGGAAGAGACGACAAACAGTGTTGTTTCCATCAATTTATAGCATTTATTGCTATATTTTTCAGGTACAGTCCAGAGAAGGGTAGACATACTTATACTATAGATAATAGACATTCTATTCACGTATAAACCTATTGTTAGAGTTGTCAACAGTTTTCTTCCACTACACGCAAGCCGCTAGTGGCACGCTGGCGAACCGCCAATGGCAATGCTAGCGGTCCTCTGGTGGCAGCCACCAGCGGGTCGCTAGCAGTCCGCCAGGGGTAACATTGCCGAGACGAAGATGTCGAAGGTCCGACAGCGGGCCACCAGCGGTAAACGCTAGTGGCATTCCACCCAGTGGCAGATTAGTGGTTTGCGCGTAAGGGCCATTTTATTGAAGGAGTTTCTTGTTCCCACCCTGGATCACCATGTTGTCACAAACGCAAAGACGAAAATTACCACGACCTTAGACAGGAATTACACAATCTTGTCTGCGGTACACAACGTACAATTGGGTCCACACTAGATTTCGCCGTCAATCTCCATATCGTAAAAGTTTGGAAAAACAGAATCAACTATATCGAAATGCCATAGCAGGAGGAAAAGGAAGCCGGATGACTCGAAAGGTCGGTGAAACTCAACAAAACTAGCAGATATAGCGACTGAAGACGGGGTTAGAGTACACTTTTCTTTGTTTCTAATGAATTTTTCTGTTTTATAATACTCCGCCTTTTTGAAGACATCATAAGCTATCCCCATCCACCTTTGGATTTTAGTGCCGCACTTTCCGTCCTCTATCAAAACACTTCTCAGATTCTTAAATTTTTTGTGCTTGTTTGATTGTAATATGTCCAGTTTGTAATTATATCTTCATCGTAATAGATGAAGATATAAAAAAAACGGCATATAAATGAAAAAATGAAAAACGGCATATAGGTGAAGATAAAAATCGACATATATATATATATATATATATATATATATATATATATATATATAAGATATAAAACGGCACGTCGATGAAAATATAAAAACCAACATATAGGTGAAGATATAAAAAAACGATATATCGGTAACGATACTTAAAAAAAACTGCATATAGATGAAGATATAAAATAACGACATAAAGGTGAAGCATATAGATGAAGATGCAAAAAAACGGCATGAAGGTGGATATAAAAAACGGCTTATAGATGAAGATATAAAAATCGG